GGTCGGCGGCGGACCGGCGTGCGGGCCGGCGGGCGCGCGGGCGGCGGCGGCACGACCAGCTGGTCAGCCGGCCGGCCGGCCGGCCGCTCGCCGCCGGCCGCTCAGCGCCGCGGGCCGCCCTGGTAGCCGCCGCGGCCGCGGCTGCCCTCGCCGCGACCGTAGCCGCCGCGGCCGCGCGGGGCGCCGCGGCCGAAGCCGCCGCGGCCCGAGCCGCCCCGGTCACCACGGCCGCGGCCCTCGCCCACCCGCTGCTGCTGCTGCTTCTTCTCGATGTTCAGGCGGTGGCCCTCGTCGCCCTGGCGCGACAGTCTGACCGGCTGCAACGGCAGAGGGGGCAGTGTCAGAGCGAGCTGCCTGTCGGGAGGACAGAGACGCCGGCCAGCCGCGCCAGCACGGCGTCAGCAGGGCAGCGACAGTCCAGAGGGCACACGGCGCGGAGGGAGCCACGCGCAGACACCTCTGCTGTCGGCCGCCAGCGGGACCCTCCAGACGCGTACCCTCTGCTTTGGAATCGTGTACACAACACGGCGTCACTGCCGGAGCTGATCCTCGCCGACTCCAGGTCACGCAGTCAGATGGTCCGCGGATGACCGACGCCTGCCGACGAATCGTCCTCGCGCGAGGCGACCACGTATTGGCGCAGAGCTGGTCATTCCTGTTTGGCGCTTTGTTGGCTTCTCGGGTAGCCCAAATTTACTTGAACTGTTGTATCATTTTAGACAAGTCTTGTACCTATCTTCATGTAAGTTTGTGCCCATCACGAGTGGACAAATCTCGCCAAGAACTGTTAAGGGAAACTGCAATTATACATCAAAGGGCGCAATTCAACAATGTCCTCACAGCGATTTGAAAGGTAGACATTTGTCATTCACGAAATGAAACACGCGACATGACATGGAGATAGATACTGAGAAATTGTTCCCTGCTTGGGCGGTTTTTCACAGAGATCCAAAGTATCTGAATCACTGCCTGCTCCCGAGCACGCAGTTCGCGGCTGATCTGTCCGTGACTATCATTCTCCAATGACCGTGATCAAGACGTGAAACGGGCAGCTGCTGCCCGCTTTCTCACGGTGCCACACTCTGAGCTCTTCTTACATATACAAACGTGCAAAAAAGTACTGCATCAAATATTGTCTATGCAGAACATTTCACACAATGCACTGGCGAATGAGGCACTGCGGCCTCCAGAAGCTGTGGTAAAGACAACAATCATATTCCGTCTTAACGCACCAAAACTGCATCTCCAAACTCCTACAAAATACTGGCTTCGCTCGCCTGAAATGCCTTCCCACCAGCCGGAATCGTGACCTCCGGGCTTCGACCGCAGCCTCGGACAGGCAGCACTGGAGGGAGCGGAGCGGCCACGCCTGCCGTGCAGTACTGACACGCCCCTCACCCACCGGGTCGGAGCACCCCCCCCCGCCCGGCACGTACCAATATCAGCGAGCACCTTCTGCACGGTCGCGGCCGAGTCGAAGATGACGAAGCCGTAGTTGGGGTAGGTACGCGGCGGGACACCCTTGGGCGGTGGCTTGCTGGAGTAGATCTTGACGTCCACCACCTCGCCTGCAGGGGACGGCAGCGTGTCAGGGCCGGTCGGGGAGGGACGACAAGGCGAGACTACGCCCATGGTAGCGGCGGCTGACATGTTGCACTATCCCGGGCGGATGGGTACCACAGCTAGCACATCACGTAGATGACTGAAGTGTTACACCACCCAAGGCGGCTAGGAACCACAGCCAGCACATCACACAGGTGGCTGGCGTGTTACACTATCCAGGGCGGACAAGGACCACAGCCAGCTCATCCCACAAGTGGCTGGCGTGTTACACTATCCAGGGCGGACAAGGACCACAGCCAGCTCATCCCACAAGTGGCTGACGTGTTACACTATCCATGGCGGACAAGGACCACAGCCAGCTCGTGACACAGGTGGCTGACGCAGGACGTGCTCGGCCCTCGATGACCCATCGCCTCGCGCCATGGTGCCGTGCGTGACTGTGACGGTGCGGCCGGCCGCTGGCGACCGCGCGCAGGAGCCCAGCTCAGCCTGGCGCTGGCACCGACAATCAAGGCAAGGCTGCCGCATAACACGTAATACAACGCGTCCAAAACCACTGATCAGGGCACCCAGGCCCGTCTACACAGGACTCCCGCCCGCTGAAGTCCGCCAGAGGTCCGGCGAACGGCGGCCCGGCCACCCACCGAAGGGGTTGAAGTGGTTGATGAGCTCCTGGTCGCTGATGTCGGGAGGCAGGTTGCCAACGAAGATCTGGTGGCTGTCCGGGTGGGCAGAGAGCGGCCGGCGGCGGTCGGTGGCCTCGCCAGAGGACGGCGGCCGACTCTGACGGCTCAGCAGCGGCGGCCGGCGCCGGGCGCGGCACCGCCGGGCGGCTGGGCGGAGACTGCTCCTGCGGGCCGGCGGCGGCGGCGTGAGCGGCCGGGCAAGCACAGCCGCCTGCCACTGACGGCCAACTCTCGCACATGGTCCGAACCCTCAGAGGCAGATGCGCCCTACAGGCTGGTCACGAAGCCCGGCGCCCAGGCTAGCCGCCAATGCTAGCAGCTCACATCCACCACTGCCCCGGATAACAGACGACACGAGCAGTGCATGACGCCAGAAATTGTACAGCAGTGCAACACGCGTCGAGGGCACTTTTTCAGTTCTTTTTTTTAAATTCGCCGAATGAGGCCAATCCATCATTTCATCAGTCAGCAGCATGCTGCTGCTGCTGCTGCCCCCCCCCCCCCCTGCCCCACTACGGGCAGCACCGCACGCGACACGTCAGCCAGCGCAGAGGTGACCATAGCACGGAACATCCCGCAGACCGCCACCAACACCAGCGCACGGCACCGCGGCAGCCCCGCTAGCGGGCGGTCTGTCAGCCCCACGGGTCGGCCTGAGAGCCTACCTTCTCGGCGGGCCGGGGCGGCGCGGGGCGCCCGGAGGAGGCCTTGAACAGGTTGGCGTACGTCTTGGGCTCGTTGGAGACTGCAACACAGTGATAGACAGTCACAGCCGGTCGGTGCATTTCACAGCCGGGCATACCACAGCCGCCTTCAGTGTGCGCCGGCGGGCTGGGAGGCTGAAGAGGACTGACAGCCCCCCCCCCCCCCCCCTCCCTCTGGCACTCACAGGGTCGGACCACGGCTCCATACACTTGGGCAGACAGGCTTAGATTGTCTTCAGGGATCATGGACCAGTCAGGATCGATACAAATAATGATGATTAAACATAGGGTCCAGTCTCGTTAAATTTTGCTCTCCAAAATAAGATACATACACTCAAGATGTAGACTTTCAGGCATTTCTTCCTGTGAACATGAACACCAACAAACAAGTGCTGAGACATCGCAAACACTTCTAAGTAAGTCGGCCACCACGGTACTTTACGTTACGACTCCAGTCAGGCTGACAACACAGAGCCGGGCCGTAGCGGCGGCTCACCGGGCTGCGGCGAAGGCTGGCGCGGCTGCGGCGACGGCTGCCGCGGCTGCGGGCTGGCGGCCGGCGGCGGCGCCGCGGCCGGCTCCGCCTCCATGGGCTCGGCGGCGCGCGGCGCGGCCGGCGGCGGCGAGGCCGGCGGGGAGGGTGCCGCGGCCGGCTCGGGGGCCGGCAGCTGGAACACACGCACCGAGTTCAGCGGGAGCAGGCGGCAGACAGCAGAGCAGACTCAACAACGACACATGGCATGCGCAAGTCTGGAGCCCAGATACTTTGCCTGGACTACTGACGCGACCCGCCCTTTGGCAACACGCCTCTGCCATGGCAACCATCACGCCTTTGAGCTCCGAAGACCGATCTTGGCAGCATTCGCAACTCTACGACACCCAGGTCCGCCTTCCAACAGCGGGCGTGCCACAAGAGATCCCCACACGCCACGTGTGCTCCGCTGTCCCCGATGAGCGGCGACAACGGCGCCGTGTACGGGCCTGTGCAGTGGCTGCCTACACACCCGTGCGCACACTGCGGCGTCCGCGGCTGCCAGCTGCTGTGACGTAGTATGCCGCCGTGTCGCGCCTGCGCCGGCGTGGAGGCGGCGCCCGCACGTGTACCGTGCCCTCACCCCTTTCCGGTACAGGATGCCGCATCTGCACCGGCGCGGCGTCCCAGTGTCTGTCTGTGTCACGTGACGCTGACATCCGGATGTGGTGGCGGTGCTGTCGTATTTGTGCTCGCCAGCGCAGCCATGCCATTGCCTGAGCCCGCCCCCCTGTGCATGCCAAAGGCAGCCCAGGAGCCCACCCCACCCCATGCGTATGCCACTGACAGTCCAACTGCCCCACCCCGTCCCCGTGTGTATGCCATTGACAGTCCAGCATTCCCACCCCGTCCCCGTGTGTATGCCATTGACAGCCCAACAGCCCCGCCCCGTCCCTGCCGGCGTGAGGCGCGCCCGTACCTGCTGCGCGGCGGCGGCGGTGGCGGCGGGAGCGCTGTGACCGTTCACGTGCGGCGGCTGACCGTAGCCGGGCCCGGCGGCCGGCGCCGACGGCGGCTCGGCGGCCGGCGCCGGCCGGCGCCGGCGGCGCGGCGGCCGCGAAAGGCGCCGGCGCTGGCGGCTGGATGGTCTGCGGCGCCGGCGGCGACTCCGGCTCAGCCTCGTCGTCCGCCTCAGCCGCGCCGTCGCCGGCCTCCTCATCATCGGAGAACAGCTGCGGGAGCAGGAGCGGATGGTCAGCCACGCCCGCCTCCGCCTCTGACGTCCGTCAAGTCGAGGAGGGCTCAGCCAGCAGAGATGTCACCAATGGTGTGTCAACTGAACAGTCATGCAATCACAAAAGTGGCTTAACAGCGCATAAGTCGGCGTGACAAATATGCAACAATGCAAACCATGTTTTATGGAGGGCGACACAATAATGCAAACCATGTTTTATGAAGACCGTAACACATAGTATGAGATTGCACCAAATCGACAACGCATCTCACAAAAAATACACACCCGAGTGGACCAACGTCGGCTCCCTGAGCGTGAACACGGCACCCGATGCAGCACGGACAAGGACTCCATGTCCCAGCACTGACTTCGTGTCCCACACAGACTCCACATCCAGCACTGACTCCCTGTCCAGTACGGACGGCCCCCGGCCAACCACTCACGTCATCCTGGTAGCGGAAGATGTCGTTGTAGACGTAGTAGTTGTGGGCGGTCTGCGGTGCCAGCACGAACGTCTGCATGAAGGGCCGCATCGGGGCGCCGTTGTTGGAGAGATGGCCCGACACCTGGCGGAGGCGGAAAGAAGTCAAGCTGTCAGAACCAACCACCCGAGGAGCCGCAACCATCGTCAAGACTGTCTGCCGTGAGCTACACCGCTGCACCGTGTGCCGCGCTCGGGTGGGCTGGGGTCCGCTTTTGTTCACATTCACCCCAAACATCTAGAGTAAAATCGCAGGGTAAGCGACTCTACCGCACGCTCCAGACGTGCGTGCCGGGCACTGAACAGCAGACGACAAGCCACGACATGCAGCAACTGCTTTCGAAACAGGTTTGAGCCACTCCACGTCGGACTGAGGACACGTTGGACGTCGGACTGAACCCGGTAAACAAAGGAGTTCTAATCCAAAACGCGATGAGCGGCGGACCCAACAATACAAAGTTCCAAAGCCTTCCCCTGACCACCGATTTCATCCGGCGCAACACCACTCGGGGGAAATTATCCTTGCCCCACACACACCTCTAGCTCCCCCACCACCGCGGCAAGCTGCTGTTTGATGACTATGGACACGCCAGCGCTATACCCTCACTTCGCACCCTCCCTCGCACAGTGCCGGCTCCTCTGAGACATCTGGCGCCCCGCACACCGCGATCCATGCGGGCGTCTCGCGCCCGCCGGCGCCGCGCCACGCACCTGGATGACGACACCGCCGGCCAGCGTCGGGTGAGCGTCCACCTGCTTGATCTTGGTGCGGGCGTCCTTGAACTGCAGCTTCTGGATGCGGTCGTTGATCTCCTTCTGGCCGCGGGCAGTCTTGGTCTCCGACTGCTTGCCGCGCTCCAGACCGCCGTGCACGAAGCTCGAGTCCTGGCTGTAGAACCTGGCGAGACGAGCGCGGCCGGGTCAGGTCAGGTCAGGTCAGGTCGGGGCAGACCAGAACGGCGCGGGATGCACTCGGTAGAAGGACTGCATGACCCTAGCGCGTCTGCGCCGTACAGCAAGGGAGGGGCGCAGCACGGGCAGACACTGCAGCGGGACCAGCAGTGGACAAGGGCGGGCGTCGCCGCTCTGCCCAGAGGTGACTCGGGCCCGGCCCACCTCCGACCCGCCAGCGGAGGCCGACGGCGGTGCGGCGGGCTGGAGACGACTGCCACCGGACACGGCTGGCGCCGCAGCCGCAGTGGGGCCCGCTGTATCGATGGAAGCCGCGCCGCGGCCCAGTGGGGCCCACTGTATCGATGGAAGCCGCGCCGCGGCCCAGTGGGGCCAGCTGTGGCGATGGAAGCTGCACCGCGGCCCAGTGGGACCCGCTGTGTCGACAGAAGTCGTACCGCAGCCCAGTGGGGCCCGCTGTATCGATGGAAGCTGCACCGCGGCCCAGTGGGGCCCGCTGTGTCGATAGAAGTCGTGCCGCAGCCCATTGGGGCCCACTGTATCAACAGAAGCCGCGCCGCGGGAAACGCATCGAGTTTGGGTGAAGCGGGGTTTCCAAACCCGCATTACGCAAACACTCGGAATCGACACACAGCCACAAACATCGAGCACATTTTTTAGATACAGATCTGATCGAATATTTTGCGCCTCGCGACATTGCAGCGTGGACCCGGACGCCTCGCGACATTGGACCCGGACGGTCCAATACGCTGCCGATAAGCGGCGTGTCCTCTCTCTCTCTCCCGACGGCCACGCCCCGGGGCGCGTGTCCAGCCCCCCCCCGCCCCGCCCCCCCCCCCCCCCGTCAGCTGTGGCAGACGAGCGGGCCGGGCGGCGCGCCCGTTTTCGCGTCGGCCCCGTTTGATCGGCGACCGTGACGTCAGCCGGCTGGCGGTGCCGCCCGGCCCACACACACACGTACCGTCGCCGCCCGGCCGCCGGCTCGCCCGGAAGGGTGCACGCTGTGCCCCGGCGTGCGGTGGTCACCGATAGCGGCCCTATCTGTCGCTGATAGGACAACTGGCGTTGTCACCCGCGCAAGGAACTGTTCGGCGGCTTGTCTGTTGGGGCCGAATCCTTTACAAGACTGCTGCTGAGGTAAACTGCGGCATATTTGTGAAGATGTTTGGGGGCAAACTGTGTTTCGCTGCGTAGTTATACAATGTCCACTACTGCCTTATCCAAACACATACTCAGTTCTCGCCGCCATTACCTTCATCATGGCGGCTACCGCTGGAGGTTTTATAGTTCAGCCGTGCGAGACGACTGCGGAAATACGTGGGCAACGCTCCGCATGCAACGGCCGAGCACTGAGCCGCCGAGCGTGCCAAATGAAAGACACGACGGCGCACCAGATCGTGATCTGGGCCCATCAACTGCTCCGGCGCGACACCGCCGTGGCGCCGGGACGGCAGCGTCGGTAGGGTCAAACACCCTCCCGGGCACGGACGCCAGCCACACGTATGCGGCGCTGCTCAGCCGCGCCGGTAACCCAGCTCCCCCGACACGGACGCCTGCCCTCAGCCGCGCGGGTGACCCAGCCTCCCCGACACGGACGCCTGCCGCGGCGCTGCTCAGCCGCGCGGGTGACCCGGCCTCCCCGACACGGACGCCTGCCGCGGCGCTGCTCAGCCGCGCGGGTGACCCGGCCTCCCCGACACGGACGCCTGCCGCGGCGCTGCTCAGCCGCGCGGGTGACCCGGCCTCCCCGACACGGACGCCTACCCCGGCGCTGCTCAGCCGCGCGGGTGACCCAGCCTCCCCGACACGGACGCCTACCCCGGCGCTGCTCAGCCGCGCGGGTGACCCAGCCTCCCCGACACGGACGCCTGCCGCGGCGCTGCTCAGCGGCGCGGCGCGGCCGACTCTATCGAGCCGCCGGCGTCGACCGGTGGCCGGGGCCTCGGGCCGGGTTCGGCGGCGGCTCCACGCGCGTCAATACGGACCGACGGGCCCCGTCGGCCGCTGAAGGCCGCTCTCGGGCCGGCCGCGGCCGCCACAGCCGATCCCACACGTCCACGCCCGGCCCGGCAGCGCCCCGCATTCACTCGCGGGATCCGGCGCTGGCCCCGCCGCCGCCGCCGTCACGGACACAAGATCGGTCCGGCGCCGGCGCCGGCCGCTGGCGGGGAGGGGTCGCTCGGGCCGGGCCGGGTCGGGTGCCGGCGCCGCTGTCGGGCGCGGCGCCGCTGGCGAAGACCTACGCCGGCCGCCGGAAGCCGGGCGGGCTCGAGTCCCGCTCAAAGGAGCGGCCCCGGTCGGCCGCTGGTTGCCGGGTCGGCGGCAGCGTCTCCCTACTGCCGGCCCGTGTGAGCAGGCTCGCTTCCAACCCCAACGACCGGCACAGTTAAAGGGATGGGGGGGGGGGGGGGCGGGGGCGGGCACGAGACACGGAAGC